GATGGTAGTCTAGTAATTTGAGCTTCAATTTGTATATTTTTGGGAAGAAAAAGAAAAAAATGCAGACATGTATTTGTGTTGACTAAATGTAAGTTTCATGGTTGTAGAATTTAAAACATGCAAATACGGATAATTGTTAAAAGATGCATATTCTTTAGTTCTAACGATTGACCATTCAATAAGTATAAATGGGATAGAATGGGTTGCGTTTAAAATTAACATATATCATACATGATATTCTGCTAACAGCTTGCTAATCAACAAAAGTATGCTAACAATTCAAAATGAAAAAGTAACTCATCCCAAATCTTAACGCTATGTTCACTATAAAAATAACTAACATAAAAACAAATATTCACATTTAAAATAAATATCAAGATTTGAAATGTTTTTTACTAACCGAGATACTATTAAATATTAAACATTAAAATTTTGACATAAAAAAATCATTATTGACACGTAATGTTCATTTGTGAATAGTAACTTTCCAAAAACAAATCATCTTCTTCTTTACTTAAAATGAAATTAAATAATATTATTTGCTGTCGCTCACTACCGCAATCGTCCTACGTGACATAAAAAATACCACATTAATGCATCAAATCACTAACCGCTACATGTGTGTCACGTAGGACGACTATGATCGTGAACGACTGTAAATAGCATCACTCTATAAAATTTCTTACATTTATATTCCTCCAAAATGATCACTATACAATAATCGGGCAACAAAACAAAGTCCGCAGTCACCCTACGTAATATACATGTGACGATTAGTGATTTGATGCATAATGTAATAAAAAAAATACCACATTAATACATCCAATCACTAACCGCCACATGTATGTCATGTAGGACGATATGGTTATGAGTGACTGTAAATAGCATTACTCTATGAAATTTCTTACAGTTACATTCCTCCAGAATGATCACTATACAATAATCGAGCAACAAAACAAAGTTCATGCATTGGAAAATGTCCTATTATAAATTCTCTCTCTCTCTCTCTCTCTCTCTCTCTCTCTCTCTCAACCTAGACACTCATTAAAATTTAAAACTTAAATTTTGACATTTAATCAAATTTTTTCTTTCACTATTCATATATCACAATAACTAGAATAATATAATGTAGCCTTACTAGGATTAAAGTCCAGTCTATGTGGCATTAATGTAGTATTAAATGATAGGTGGGATTAAATATGCCATTTAATTTTACATTTTATTCAGCCTATCATGGCTAAATAGCATTACTCCAATAACTAAGGGTGTGTTTGATTTGTTGTTTACAATTTTCAATATTGCAGAACACTAAAAACGTGTTTGGTCTAATATTTTTGAAAATGTTTTTTCGAAAGCTAAGATAAACCTTTACATAAAGCTCAAAATGTATTTTTGATAGTTTGAGCATTTTAGCCGAAAATTCTAAAAACATTCAAAAGATGGAAAAGAGGTGTTTGAATAAAATTTTTAAAATTAAGAATTTTAAAAATAAAATTATAAAATTCTAACAAATAAAAAAATATATAATTCAAGTAAAATAAAATTAGTAGATTGTTAAAAAACAGTCTTGACAAAATAAAATTCTAAATGCTTATATCCGTTGCTTGCATTCTTCCTTCCTCTCTATTTGATTTGCTTCCTTTGGAGCCGCTGAAATGAAATTCACACCTCGAGTTGTACTGTCTTGGTAAAGGATTAGGCCTTGTCCTCGTAGGACCAGAAAGATGATTAGTACCATTCACAAGTTTCAACAAAAGAGGCTAATTGCAGTACTTAAACACGCCTTTCTCACTGTCTTTCTAGGTTGCCCGTCACTTGCTTCTACTTTGATTCTAAAAAATAAAAATATTGAAAAATAAAGTTATAAAAACAACTGGAAAAATAAAAATTGCTCAAGCTCTTAATGATTATTTATGTACTAATTCTTATAAAAAATTAAATGAATACATGTAAAAATATTCTCAACCCATGTCATCAATTTTTATTGTTATTTCCTATATTTTGAACTCAATTTATTATTTATTTTAATTTTACTTTTATAGCAAGAAAAATATTGTAAAATTCATAAACTTGTAATGTAAATATTACTTGATAATATATTAATATAAACTTATTCTATTTTTACTGAATAATTAAATTTCATAAATAGAAATTCATAAAATAATTTTTTGAAAATTTAAAACCAATCGTGTATTCTAGTTTCTTGTTTTGAAAATAATTTTTCAAAATGACAAACCAAATGCGATTATAGCAATCTTAAAATGGACCATCAAAATAGAAAACTAAAAATGAACTTAAAACTGAAAACGGGAACACAAACCAAATCGAGACTAATTTACTTCTTTATAAAAAATAGCATTTATTCATACGTACATATTTCATTACATATACGCAAAAATTTTATATTTATTCTACACAAAGATAAACTCTTACTCTGTTATCAAGTTGTAACATCCCAAATGTTATGACTTAAAATTTTAAGTATTACCAATATCATTTCATAATTATGCTTGACGTGGAAAGATTTAATTGAAAATGTACATCCTTAATTTATTTGAACTTTCCTAGACTAAATTGAATCAACATAAAATTTCGAAACTAAGAACATTTAGTAGGAATTAAAAAAATATTAAAAATATTGACAAAAAATAATTATTGATTGTTTTCTTGAGAATTTTAACTTGGCAACCTATGTATTGCTCAGCCATCATCACGTCTGATCATTCTAACTTCAAACATTAAAACTGAAGGATAAATATATTAAACTCGGTAGGAAACTTGCACTCCAAAATAATATAATAAATTTTAAACATAAATTATGACATTCCATACGATCATTTTATTGAGAGTAATAGAAGATCAGTTGATTACTCTGACATATTTCTGTGCAAACAATTGAGAAAACTCGAAAGAAATCTTACTTTTCATTTCATTAATGATGTGTGGGTCAATTAGCATTTCATGCATAAATTTATGTAAAACATACAATATTAAAAGGATAATTTAATTTGCACATAGTATCCTACCTTCAACAGATCAAGAAATTTATTGTAGGATTAAAAATACGGGTTACACTCCTTACACATACAAATTATGAACAGTGTTTTCAAAGTGTGGGTTGTATGTCTTCTTTAAAAATAAATGAATGGAGAAGAAGACCGAACAATATTATTATATAAGAGAATTTGTTTTGATTTTAAATGCAAATATCCATCTATTTCTATCATACACGATACCTTCAAAAATTACACATTTTTTTTACATGTCAAATGAAGAACAGAATTTGAGAATATTTCAAATTTCAAATCATCTTTCATTCTGTCCATATACAAAATCACTTTACAAAATATCTATAGTAGAAAACTGAACAATATTATTATATAACAGAACTTGTTTTGATTTTAAATGCAAATATCCATCTATTTCTATCATACACGACACCTTCAAAAATTACACATTTTTTTACATGCCAAATGAAGAACAGAATTTGTTGATATTTTTAAATTTCAAATCATCTTTCATTCTATCCATATACACAATCATTTTACAAAATATCTATTGTAGAAAACTGAATTTGTTACTGTGGATTTCAATGGAATAAATTATATTTGAATAATCCATTTTTAAACTAAAAGATATGTTAATAAGTAATAAAATAATACATATTAAATACGTATCTTTGAATTAAAATAACTTGGACTTAACTTATACGAACTTATATTTTCTTAAACCCAACTTATTTAATGCGAGTTACAAAATGAGCCCACTATTAATATACTAGTTTTCTCTACTCCTACAATACTTAAATATTTAGCCCAAACAACATAAAATAAATGGACTGAGTGATCAAACTATCTTACAGTTTAATCAATAATGTGATAAACAAGTTAAGATGTAAATAGGTTTCTACTTACAAAAAGATAACGTAATAAAATTAAGTCGCTCTATTTCTAAAACACCAAGGGTGCATTTGAATATGAGCATAAAATTTGCATGAAAAGAAGAAAAATTTTAGGCAATTCAATTGCCTATAACTTATTTATTTTGAAATTATTAATTTAATGTGTTTGATTGATTTAGTTATTTAATGTGTTTGATTGATTTAGTTTTCAACCTAAAAAATTTTATACTTGTCCATTTTTTATTGGTTGGTAGATGAGATAGAATGTATAGATAAGAGAGAGAGAGAGAGAGAGAGAGCGAGCGAGCGAGGGGATTCACTGGAAAATAAAATCTTACTCCCTCTAAAGAAAATATTTTCCTTAATTTTGAGGAAAATTTGGTCATGTGACCAAAAGTAGGAAAATGTTTTCCATGAAAAAAATATCAATCAAATAGCACAATTAAAAATTTGGGTGGAAAAAACACATTTTTCATTAAAACTATTGGCAATCAAATGCACTCTAAAAATTTTACAACTGCTAATACTGCAAATAAAAATAACGAACATGCAAAACAATCCTGCACAATATAAGCCAACAAACCTGCACAAAATAAGCCGTGACTAACCTATGACTAACAATTCCTATTCTCATGGGATTGGCAAAATTACATACAATTTCATATAAAGTAGAACTCCAACAGTTAAGTTTTGTCATGCACCAACTTTGAGCAAAAAAATTCCCTCAAATCTCTCACCTGTCACCTGCATTTTTCCTTTTCCACCCTGCAAAATCTTGGATTGTACATAAACTATAGAAGATTTTATACTGAAAAAGTGAGAATGTTGGTTAATAATGGCTGGGAATCAAGAAAAATTGAGGGCTTTAAGACCTTTACTAACAGTTGTATGGAGCTTTCTGTTGGCTTCAATATTTGTTTCTGCTGAAATAAGAAGCTCAAAGCAGAAATTTTCAACACATAATGCAACATTCTAATTTAGATGTTTTAACAAATTATCAAAATTTTACACTGCAAGCATCAAATCTTGGTACCAGCACGTTTGGCCGGCGTATTAAATCATTGATTGAACTCCAACAGTTAAGTTTTGTCATGCACCAACTTTGAGCAAAAAAATTCCCTCAAATCTCTCACCACCTGCATTTTTCCTTTTCCACCCTGCAAAATCTGGGATTGTACATAAACTATAGAAGATTTTATACTGAAAAAGTGAGAATGTTGGTTAATAATGGCTGGGAATCAAGAAAAATTGAGGGCTTTAAGACCTTTACTAACAGTTGTATGGAGCTTTCTGTTGGCTTCAATATTTGTTTCTGCTGAAATAAGAAGCTCAAAGCAGAAATTTTCAACACATAGTGCAACATTCTGATTTAGATATTTTAACAAATTATCAAAATTTTACACTAAAAGCAACAAATCTGGGTACCAGCATGTTTGGCCGGCGTGTTAAATCATTTATTCTGTTACTTTTTAATTTTCAAATTCAATTTGTCTAGTGCTTTAATATATATTTGATTTGAGTTCAATCTACAATTCTGGTTTCATATTTATTTTTGCATGATATTTTTATTTGTTGAGTACTTATTGATATTGGAATTTGGAGGTTGGGATGGATAATTTGGATTTTGTTTTCATTTTTATTTTTTCAAGAATTGATCTTTGTGAATCCACGGGGGTTTTTGTTCTTTGGTTTCTTGGTTGGTTTTTGAATTCCGGAGGGCTATGAGTAGGTTGGATTGAAGTATTGACAAGTGTTTTAATCTCTTCATAATACATTTTTTCTTGAACGTACATGTTTGTGCTTGTATGTGTTTGTGTGTGTGAGCAAAAGCTAGTTCATAAAGTTGGCCTCAGATACAATGAGTGACAGAACTTCCTTAAGCCAGGGAAAATCATATATTTAAACTTTTTTGGGAGGGGGGCAGGGCAATGTACATTTATAAATTGTATTGTTACCATTTGAAAAAGGCTTTTCTTGGTTGAGTTTTTTTCATGTTTTGAATTGGACGTTCTATCGTTATGGAAGGCTTGTAACTAGTGACAATCTGGTATGTCGTCTACAGGATCTGAAATTCAACTAGCAACTTCTTGTTGGTAGCATAATTGGATTTTTCGGAGCATCTTTTGGAATTGTTGGTGGTGGTTGGATATTTTTTCCCATTCTTACTCTGGTTATTGGATTTGATCCGAAATCATCAGCTGCTATCTCAAAATGTAAGTTACAAACCGTATTGATATAACATGGAACGATTAAACATTAATCTTGTTTCTATACCGCACAATTGGATATTCCAAGTTCTTTGTCAGTTGAATTTATTCAAATCCAAGAATCTATGCATATAATTTTAGAGGTCGCAAAGCTGAAGTTCTTAGTCTCCTTGTAATCCTGGATAAAGAAAGTCAGCATATAAAATTATTTTAATGGCCTTGAAATTCATGAAAAGGTATGGTTCAAATTCAGTTTTATGGAGTCAATAAATGCCAATTCTAATTTGATATGTATGATCTTGGGAATTGCAGTCTTGACTGTTTACTACAATCTTAAGCTCGGGCATCCTACTATTGACATTCCAATTATCGACTATGACTTGGTTGTTCTCGTCCAACCTATGCTTATGCTAGGCATTAGCATTGGAGTTGCTTTCAATGTGATATTTGCCAATTGGATGGTCATTGTTCTCTATATAGGTAATTAATGTTTGTGTTACAATGGGTTTATTATGTATCCTAATTCAATAGCTCTTTTTTATATGATATGTGATAAGTGTGTTTTGCACATTTATTTAGATCACAAACATGACTGAATAACGAGTAAAATGATTAAATTATGACTTAATTTCATTACATTTGTGAATTGTAGGAAACAACGATGAACATGGTGAAATTCAGGAAAAAGAAGTGAAAAGGACTAAAATGACGCAAAGTGAAAGTTCAGGGACCAAGGTGCAATTATCCAAAAGTTGACTCGATGAACAAATCGAGAAATTGATTAAGCCAATTACCAATTGATGATATCTTGGGATGATGGAATCGAAAGAATGAAGAAATGATGTCAAGAAGTGAAGGATTCAAGTAGGATGACCAAAATGAACACCTTTCATAGTTGGTAGACTGCATACTGCTACCCTCTATGCGGTCGCATAGAGCCAAACCGAACTTAAAATGACAGAATTTTTACTCTATGCGACCGCATAGAGTTGCTCTATGCGGTCACATAGAGCAATTCTCAGGTAAAATTGCAGTTTCCTTTTTCCGCCAAAACTCTTATGGAAACAATATTTTTAGGGTCCTATATAAACAAAAACTTGACCAGAATGAAGGGGATGCCATTTTTACAAGTTTTTGAGAGATTTTGAAGGAGAAACGTGGAGAGAACAAGAGGACAACATCGCGTCAAGTGAAGATTGATTCGGGTGATGACGTTTCTTCAGCTATTTTTATGTTTTCTTCTTTTTAGCATTTAGGCTAGATTTTTCATTGCTAGGAGATCGACGAACCTTGTAATACTACGTTTGATTTTTTATTTGGATATTTGACATCTTTAAATGCATATTCCGGAATTGAATGGTTTATTACGTTTTTATTTTCATATGATTATTGCGCACGTAATTATGTGATTGTGGTGGCCTGTTTTATACATTCGAAAGAAGGAAAATAAGTTCGACATAGTATAAATGATCATAGGGTCCGATAGGGAATAGAAATATACCTCTATCCACTTACATCAGTGAAAGGTGTTCGTAGTTTCCTTGGGCATGCCGGGTTCTACAGAAGGTTCATCAAGGATTTCTCAAAGATTACTAAACCACTATGCTGTTTGTTGATGAAGGAATTCACATTTGAGTTCACGGATGAGTGTCTGCTGGCTTTTAACACCTTGAAAGAGAAGTTGATTTCAGCACCCGTGATCATCACACCGAATTGGAATCTGCCATTTGAATTAATGTGCGACACCAGTGATTTTGCTATTGGGGCCATATTGGGATAACGAAGAAATAAGATATTTCACGTGATCTACTATGCAAGCAAGATATTGAACGACACTCAACTAAATTATGCCACTACAGAGAAAGAGCTCCTTGCCGTAGTCTACGCCTTTGACAAATTTCGATTATTCCTTGTGGGGTCAAAGGTCATTGTTTATAGAGATCACGCTGCTATCAAGTACTTAATGAAAAAGAAGGATGCAAAGTCATGTCTCATTCGTTGGACACTGTTGCTTCAAGAGTTTGACTTGGAAATCAGGGATAAGAAGGGTAGTGAAAACGTGGTGGCAGACCACTTGTCTCAACTCGAGGCAACAGAATAGACAGAGACAGTGGAAATCAACGAAGTCTTCCCAGATGAACAGATTTTTGGTGTGGGTAAAGCACCCTGGTATGCGGACATAGTTAACTACTTAGCCAGGTCTATCATGCCGCCAAATTACTCAAGTCACCAAAAGAAGAAATTTTTCACTGAATTGAAGTATTATTTTTGGGAGGACCCCATTCTATACTGGCGGGGGCCTGATCAAATTGTTCATCGCTGCGTATCTGAGGAAGAAGTGCCTTTGATATTAAAACATTGTCATTCATCTAAATATGCAGGGCATTTTGGTGCTTCAAAAACAACGACGAAGATCCTTCAGTCAGGTTTTTACTGGCCTACTCTGTTTAAGGATGCTTTTGAATTTGTGAAAATGTGTGACCGATGTCAACGCACTAGTAATATATCCAGGAGAAATAAAATGCCTTTGAACAGTATCCTAGAGGTGGAACTATTCGACGTCTGGGGGATCGACTTCATGGGGCCATTTCCCCCATCCTTCTCTAATCAGTATATATTAGTGGCTGTGGATTACGTATTGAAGTGGGTAGAGGCTGTTGCATTGCCTACCAACGATGGGAAGGTGGTGATTGAGTTTCTAAAGAAAAATATTTTTACCCGCTTCGGCACACTAATGGCTATAATCAGTGACGGGGGCAAACATTTCTGCAATCGCCAGTTTGAACAATTGTTGACTAAATATGGCGTTAAACATCGTGTAGCCACTGTATATCATCCCCAAACCAGCGGACAGGTTGAAGTGTCCAATAGGCAATTGAAGAGAATACTCGAAGTCATAGTAAGATCGTCACGAAAAGATTGGTCTAAGAAACTGGACGACACCTTGTGGGCCTATAGGACTGCATTCAAGACCCCTATAGGAATGTCACCATATCGACTGGTTTTCGGGAAGGCATGCCACTTACCTCTTGAGATAGAACACCATGCTTACTGGGCAATGAAGAAATTGAATTTGGACTTGAATGCTGCAAGTGAAAAACGTCTACTACAACTTAATGAGCTGGATGAGCTCATAATGGAAGCCTACGAGAATTCAAGACTCTACAAAGAACGCACCAAGAAATGGCATGATATGCATACGGTGGGGGTAAAAAGTGCTACTCTACAACTCTAGGCTTAAACTGTTTCCAAAAAAGCTGCGATCGAGATGGTCTGGTTCGTATACTATTACACAGGTATTTCCACATGGGGCAGTGGAGATCACTCACGACAGTAAGGGGACATTCAAGATCAATGGACAGCATTTGAAGCACAATTGGGGCGGCAATTTTTCAAAGGAAAAGTCTACCATTCATCTTAAACCATCAGAATGACGCAATACGATAAAGTGGAGCTATCGACTATAACCTAACGCTAGGTGGGAGGCAACCCACTGTATCCTTCTATTTAGCTTACTTTTCACATTATTTTTAGATTTGTTTAATTTTTGCATATACATTTTTCTAGGTCATCGTTCATACATACATGTTAATAGGATCAAATTATCGTCCCCATAACTTTATAGGCATTACACACATGGTCGGGGAGTTTGAAATGATTTTGAGTGTTTGGGAGTATGATTCGCGCATTTCTAGATAAAAGAAAGTTTTTTTTTTATTATAAAAAAAATTTTACGAGGGAAATATCTTTTTGTTTTTCAGTATGTTAGAAAAAAAAAATAATAATAAATAAAAATAATTTTGGTTTATGCGATTGCATAGACACCTACCGAACATCAAATGGGGGCAATTTTCATTACTATGCGACCGCATAGTAGACCTCGGTCATGATTTTAAACCATGATCGAGCCATTTCCTCCCCCATATTTACATCACGCTCTTCAAACTTCTCACACCACACTCCCACACGAATCACACCCATCCTTCACTGCATTCTCTCCCCCATTGATACCATCAATCGGCACTCCTCACATCCATAGTGATTTCAAGGTACGTTATTTGTCCTTTTTCCTCTATTCATTTTTTTCCCTTTCATTTGGTTCGTAATGAGCAACAAACATTTTTGGGCTTGAGTGTAGAGAATGGGCAATAGATAGTCGATGGAGTTGTGTATTTTGAACTTAAATTGTGTTGTGGATTGGTGGGACATTTTTAAATTTGAATTTTGTAGGGTTTACAATTAATGACTATTAAATGTTCGATAAAATGCCTAATTGAGCTTTGTGGTGCATTATGTGGAATCCCGCATTTGATAATCTAAATATGTACACTACCATGCACATTGCGATCAAATGCCATAAAAATTGAGCTCGAAACACTTACGTACCAACCACACACGTAGGCACACGTGCTAGGCTCACGTCACTTCACAACACCCATTTCGTCCCTTGCGTTAAGTACCCATACAACATCCAATGAGCTTGAAATTTGAATATGTGCCACTCCACACTATATACTTTCATATGCCCGGAGGTTGCTCGGGAAAATTTTGAGTTTTCTCAATGATGTCCGGGGTGAAAGTGCTCACTTACTCACGGGTCCCTTGACACATTTTTGGATGTTTTGAACTTCATTTGGTGTGTGTATTGTTATTTTGCCTTCCTTTTATGTTCTTGAGCATGTTTTCTTGAAGTTTGCATATGCCACATTCATAAACACATATAAAACATCACATCCATTTTGCAAGACGTAGGCACATGGCTAGGTCAGGGCATGTCACGGCACCCTACGTCCCCTACTTTACACTATTATATGGCATACCAAACGAAGTCCATTTGCTTTGAAATTTGAATATATGGTAAATCTCATTGAATACTTTCATATGCCTAGAGATTTCCTTGGGAAATTTCGATATTTTTTGATGATGTCCGGGGCTGAACATTCGCACTCGATCATGGGTCCAATTTTTCAAATGCGCTTATTTCAGCCTAAATTTCCAATTTTTCATATTGGTACACTATTCACATCACTTTGAATGTCATGTTTTTCTGAATGCACACCAAGAAGTTCAATATGCATGTTGAAGCAAGTTTGGGGGATTTGTGAAATACATATCTTGCTAATCTCATTCCCCCTCTCGTTTTTTTCAAAATGAAGTTTAATGAATGCTATTCTTTTACCTTTGCAGGATGCCTCCAAAAAGAACATCAAAAGGAAAGGAGAAGGTTGGTTCTACATCTGGCACAGCCCGGACTAGGGAGCCCGAAGGAGGTGTCAGGCATTTTCTATCTTCAGACCAAGCAACCCGTTACGCCAATGTTGTTCGTGAGTGAGCTCTCATCCTCGAAAGTCTAGTTAAGTTGGATGATTTCCCGGGTTTTAAATTGGTGTATTTAATCCACAACTGTGGTTGGGAGAAAGTGATTGAAAACCCACACCCCCTCTATGAAAATTTGGTACGGGAATTCTATGCAAACTTCAATGCTGAAATAGACACACCTGGATCCGATCATCTGCATCAAACATGGGTTCGGGGCAAATGGATCCTGTTTTCACCTGAAGTTATTCATGACTACTATCAGCTTACCTGGACTAATGTGGTCACAGTCCCGCATGATTTCAACTGGGTTGAAGTTGCAGAGGTTTTATTAGGACGTGACAATGCTTGACGTCTCCCTAATGCTGATTGGTACCAGATTGACCTCACTCCTTCTATAGCCATCGTATGGTTGTTTATCTGTCGAACATCAAGTCCATCTCGCATAGGACGACATTCACAAATCAGAAGGCGAGGTTCATCTATCACTTAGTTCGGGGCAACAAGATTGACTTGGCTACTTACATTTACAACTAGATACACATTACAGGCGCTTGGGGAGACAAGCACACCTCACTGATTTTCCCGAGCTTGATAAGTGGGGTTTGTAGAGCTGCTGGGGAGGCATCGGAGAAATCAAGTCCATTTATCAAGCGCCTCACACTCAAGGCCCAGGATCGGGCCAGAATTAAACATCAACAGAAATTGAAAAACGAGCGCCGACGACGACAACAGGCTGAAGAAGGGCAAGCAGCCGAGGACTTTGAAATGTCACAAGCTCCACCACCACCGGCTGACATGGACACACAGTTATTGAGGCAGATGTTTGCCACTATGACTGGACACAGTCAAGACATGCAGCAGCTTCAACACTCCTTTGGAGCACCGAGTACCACCATCCAGCAGGTGTAGACGGATATGGCATCCGCACGAAACTTCACTTCCACTGCTAGTAGTGAGTCTCTCGCGGCACACCGACAGATGAGTACCTTTGATGGGCGATTGGGTATGCACGCTGGCAGAATGGATGGTATACAGTGGCGGGTAA